TTTTTACTAATAAAATGAAGATGATAAATATTAACTGGCTTTGAGAGGGAAATCAGTGAATTGTTAGGTAAAAGTAGTCTGCCAACCTGTATAAGGAATTAAATAACTGTTAATAGTATTACATGTGAGGTGCCTTTTTTTTGTTTTGTTACTATTTTAAATAAGATTAGTTCCTCTTAGGTAATTCTGTTGATTACATTTAAAGATATGAGTGTTGAAGTAATGTGGTATCTCAGAAATATTGAGAAGAAAGATCTCAACTTTAATCAATTATTGCTATTTTAGAAAAATATTCTCAAACAGTTCTGTTTGACTACATAAGAATACTGTTGTTATTTGTTCTTGTTCAATTATAGACCAGAATTTACTTAGAAAAGATTAATATATTTTTAAAAAATTAGTGTTCACACAGTTTGCTTAAGATATTAAAATTATGTCTCTGTCACTCACGTATTTCTATATTGTTACTATTTAAACTTCCAGATTAAAAAACAAAACAAATAAAAGCCCTGGCATGGTGGCTCCTGGCTGTAATCCCAGCATTTTGGGAGTCTGAGGCAGGAGGATTGCTTGAGTCGAGACAAGACTGGGCAACATAGTGAGACTTTGCCTCTATTATTATTATTATTATTATTATTTGAGTAGGAGTCTCACTCTGATGCCTAGGCTGGAGTGCAGTGACCCACTGCTCACAGCCACTGCAGCCTCGACCTGCTGGACTTAGGTGATCTCCGCCTCAGCCTTCTAAGTAACTGGAACCACAAGCACATGCCACCATGCCCGGCTAATTTTTTTGACTTACTGTAGAGAGATGAGGTCTCACCAAGTTGCCCAGGATGGTCTTGAATCCATGGGCTCAGGCAATCCTATCATCTCAGCCTCCTAAAGTACTGGGATTACAGGTGTGAGCCACTGCACTTGGCTTATTATTTTTTAAATAAAATAAAATAAAACAGTCTAGCCTTTATGAAAGAACTTTTTGAACCCCATAGCATCTGTCATTCCTTTTCGCTACCTTTAGTACATTCCAGTTCCTTTGTTTTTTGCTTCTTAAAATCACCTATCTCTGCTGAGGTTTCTCCCAGGAGTCCCTGCATTACCCAGAGCAGTGCAGTGACTGGTGTTTTGGCAAGCTTGACTTTACCACACTCTCATCCTGTGCACACAGATGATATCACTCTTGGTGAACATGGTGATTACACTTCTACTTAATTCACAGGGAGACATCATAAACTTACTTTTTAGTTTTCACTCAGGTTTGCTATAGGATAGTTATTTTTTGGTTGTAATAGACAATATTGCCAAGTACTCATAAGCATTATTTCTTAATGCAAACTTAAATATAAAAAAAAACCTAATTGCCCAGTTGTAGCTGTAAATCATTTTTCTTTTTGTCTTTTTTTTTTTTTTTGAGTTGGAATCTCATTCTGTCACCCAGTCTGGAGTGCAGTGGCCGCTCCCAGCCACTGCAGCCTCTACCTGCTGGGCTCTGGCGATCCTTCGCCTCAGCCTTCCAAGTAGCTGGAACTACAGGCGCGCGCTACCACACCTGGCTAATTTTTTGATTTATTGTAGAGATGAGTTCTCGCCAAGTTGCTCAGGCGGGTCTCGAACCCACAGGCTCAGGCAATCCATTCACCTCAGCCTCCCAAGGCACGGGATTACAGGCTGAGCCACTGAGCCCAGCTCTTTTTGTCATTTTTCACTTTGACTTTTTTTGAAGCTTATAAATGTGAGTAACCTTTGTATATATCACTCCAGAGTTTTTCAATGTCCATTTCACCCTTCCTTAGATTCCTTTCAATGAAAATAGTAGTATCTTGCCTCACCTGTTTGGTGCTAGAAGGATGGCAAAGAAAAGGGATGGGATACCTGCCCTTTGACCATCCAGCGATGACCTTATTACAGGTGAGCTCTTGAGGATAATTGCAGGCCGGTGAGGTTGCCAGCCTCAGAGAGCCCGACTTCTGTAGAGCTGTATATAGCCATGGCCGTGTCCTTACTGAAGTTTAGAATTTAGCTGTTCTTGTTTTTGATCCCTATTTATTTGCTACCTACTAAAATTCCAGCTTTTGTAATATATCTTCAATTGTACTTTCTAAGTATAACTTTCTGAACACTTATCATGAAAGGAACTCACAGAACTGTTGGGAGATTTTTTTACTCTGCAGGTAATGCTGATCTTGCTAATTGATGATATGTGTGTGTGACAGCATACTATTTTTTTTTGAGTTGGAATCTCTGTGGCCCAGGCTGGAATGCAGTGGTACGCTCATGGCCATTGCAGCCTCCACCTGCTGAGTTTAGGTGATCCTTCTGCCTCAGCTTTCCAAGTAGCTGGAACCGCATGCGTGTGACACCACAACTGGCTAATTTTTAAAAATTTATTGTAGAAACGAGATCTTGCCAAGTTGCCCAGGCTGGTCTCGAACCCATGGGCTCAGGCAGTCCTCTCGCCACTGCTTCCCAAAGTGCTGGGATTATAGGCATGAGTAACTGCACCCGACTCAGCATACTATCTCTTAAATGGAATAAAATCTCAACCGGTAACATGATTCAACAGTTACCATTAGTTGCTGAGGCTCAGATTGGATACTTTGAAAGTAGAATGCATTAATCTATATATGACTGACTTCATTTTTCTTCCAGCCATAGGATTTAATGTAGAGACGGTGACATACAAAAACCTTAAGTTCCAAGTCTGGGATTTAGGAGGACAGACAAGTATCAGGTATGGTACAAAGACCAGGTTACTTTGTGGTATTGAACATCTGAACATCTGTTGGTTCTTTAAGGGTTGCGGTAGTAAGCCAAAGTATCTATTCTAATGTAATTTAGATGGAGCCACCTAGTTTAAAATGAGGCAGATCTGAAACTGTTTCCTCATCATCTACTAAATTAAAATCAAGGAGGCCAGGTTCTCAGATGTCACTTAAGTGAAGATCTTTTCGTTGAAACCTCAAGACATTGCTTCAGTAGCTCTCAGCTAAAAAGGACCCTTCATTTCATTCTTGTCAGTCCCTGTTGTGTGAAACATTGTTTTAGAATTTATTAAGATACCTTGCGGGCCACCTTTGAGGGCGAATATAAACATGGATGCCTCTGCCATTCAGGCCACTGCCTGGTATTTTGTGTTTGACGTGGCACCTGAACATTGGGTGGTTGTCAGAAATATCTTTTTTTTTTGAGTTGGAGTCTCACTCTGTCGCCCAGACTGGAGTGCAGTGGCCGCTCCCGACCACCGCAGCCTCGACCTGCTGGGCTCCGGCGATCCTTTTGCCTCAGCCTTCCGAGTAGCCAGAATTATAGGCACACACTACCACGCCTGGCTGATTTTTCTAATTTATTGTAGAGATGAGGTCTTGCCAAGTTGCCCAGGCGGGTCTCGAACCCGCGGACTCAGGCAGTCCACTCATCTCAGCCTCCCAAAGCACGGGATTACAGGCTGAGCCACCGAGCCCGGCTGTCAGAAATATCTTAAAAGATGAGTAGGGCATACACTATACATTCTGGCTTCTTTTATTTTTATTTATTTACCTATCTATTTATTTGTTTGAGTCAGAATCTTACTCTGTCATCCAGGCTGGAGTGCAGTGGCACATTCACAACCACCCAGCCTCAACCTGCTGGGCTCAGGTGATCCTTCTGCTTCAGCCTTCCAAGGAACTGGAACTACAGGCATGTACCACCATGCCTGGCTAATTTTTTTTATTTATTGTAGAGGCGAGGTCTCACCATGTGCTCAGACTGGTCTCAAACCCGCCTCTGCCTCCCAAAGTCTGGGATTGCAGGTTATTCTGCTTCCTTTTAATTCATTTCATTTCTTGAATCACTTTGGAATTTATTTCTAATTTTAGCCATTTCTGCTTGAAGATTTCAGTGGTTAACTTCATGACTGATTATATAAAATCATATTAAAATTTTAAGGGTGGGCACGGTGGCTCACATCTATAATCCCAACACTTTGAGAGGCCAAGGTAAGAGGATTGCTTGAGCCCATGGGTTTGAGACCAGCCTAGGCAACTTGGGGAGACCTCATCTCTACAATTAATCAAAAAATTAGCTGGGCGTGATGGTATATGCCTGTAGTTCCCAGCTACTTAGAAGGCTGAGGCAGCTGGTCCAAGGCTGTGGTGGCCGTGAACATGCCACTGCACTCCAACCTGGGAGACAAGAGTGAGACTCTGTCTCAAAAAAAAAAAAAAAAAAAAAAAAAAAAGGCTGGACGCAGTGGCTCAGCCTATAATCCCAGCACTTTGGGAGGCTGAGGTGAGAGGATTGCCTGAGCCTGGGTGTTTGAGACCAGCCTGGGCTACTTCATGAGACCTCGTCTCCACAATAAATCACAAAAATTAGCCGGGCATGGTGGCATGCGTCCGTAATTCCAGCTATTTGGAAGGTTGAGGAAGAAGGATTGCCTGAGCCCAGCAGGTAGAGGCTGCGGTGGCTGTGAGCGTGCCACTGCACTCCAGAATGGGCAGCAGAGTGAAACTCAAAAAAAATTTTTTAAAACCATTGCTCTTAAGAAGTTCCTAGTTAAAGATTTATAAGATGTAATGATCAAGTCTGTGGGTAACTTTTCTATCAGTACATTTAGTAATTTTATAGATTATAAATATATTCTCTCAGCCAAAAGTCTGAACTCATTTTGAAACTCTCTGGTCCTGTGATTTAAGCTTGTAAAATGTTAGTCATCTTTGTATATATATTTGTGATTTAATGTTTATCATCATTCGCTTAACCTCATCTCATCTGAGGGATATGTGTTCACCAGAAACATTAAATAATGTTTCTGAATAATTAAGGCATTGATTAAGGTGTGGCAGGTTGCATGTCATTCCCCCAGCCTCCCCCAAATCTTGCCCTGGGTCCTAGCATGTAAATTGACATGTCAGTTTCTTCTTTCAAATAATAATTATTTTCCCCTTTGAATTTTCTCTAGGCCATACTGGAGATGTTACTATTCAAACACAGATGCAGTTATTTATGTAGTAGACAGTTGTGACCGAGACCGAATTGGCATTTCCAAATCAGAGTTAGTTGCCATGTTGGAGGTAAGAAAACATGACTGCTTAGATGTGGGAAGTCATTTACATTTGCTGGCTATTTCCAGTGTATAGTATCATATACAGAAATAATTTGAAAGAATGCAGTCATTTTCCCTTATCCCTTTAATTAATCATTTTCTTTTATGCAAATTACCTCCTGTTCTAAAATTCAGTTGGGGAGAGGGTTGGAGACCAAAAAAAGAAAAAATAAAAAAAATCTACCCTTTAACTTCCTTGAAAACTAGATTCCTTGATTTCCAGGAGGTGTAGAGCTCCATTCAATTAAAGCACCTATCTTAAGTCACTCCTATGACATGACTTTTAAAAAAATGTCTCTTAGGCCAGGCACAGTGGCTCATGCCTATAATTCCAGCCCTTTGGGAGGCCCAGGTGGCACGATTGCCTGAGCCCACAGGTTCGAGACCAGCCTGGGCAAATTGGCGAGCTCTCTCATCTCTACAGTAAATAAAAAAATTAGCTGGGCTTGGTGGCACATGCCTATAGTTCTAGCTACTTGGAAGGCTGAAGTGGAAGGATCACCGGAGCTCAGCAGTTTGAGGCTGCAGTGGTGGGGCGTGTGCCACTGCCCTCCAGCCTGGGCGACAGAGTGAGACTCCTACTCAAAAAAAAAAAGTCTTTTTATTTTTAGCTGTTTTAGAAGCCTTAAGAGTTCAGAGGGATGGGTGTCTGGGTTGCTGGTGTGGTTCTGGTCACAGCTTCACCCTTCCTGGTGTTGACTGTGCCCCACCTACATGGGTCTTCTCTTTGTCCTCGGAATATGATGAGTTTCCACACCTGGCTCAGACCTTGTGCATGCGCTGATCCTCTGCTCGGGTTGCAATCCCAGCATCTCTGCATGGCTGCCTTCTTGACATGTTTTTTCTCACATGTCTCTTCCCAGGAGGCCTGGCAGCTATTCTGTAACCTCATCCTTGCTTGATTCTCGATACTTCATATTCTTTATATTGTTATTAAATGTATGTTTACTTACATATGTCTCTTCCCTAAAATGTGAATTCCTGAGTTTACCCTGATATAACTGATATGAGCAGCAGTGTACAGCATTTAATTAAGAACTCAGTACATTTTATTCATTGAGGTTAAGATCATCTGTTGACTGGTTGGGATTCATTAAATAATCTTTCAGAGAATTCATTAAATAATTTTTCAAAACTTAAAAAAAATAACGCCAGGTATGGTGACTCACTCCTGTAATCCCAGTACTTTGGGAGGCTGAGGTGAGAGGATTGCCTGAGCCCACGGGCTCAAGACCAGCCTGGGCAACTTGGCGAGACCTCATCTCTACAATAAATCAAAAAATTAGTTGGGTATGGTGGCGCATGCCTGTAGTTCCAGCTACCTGGAAGGCTGAGACTGAAGGATCACCTGAGCCCTGCAGATTGAGGCTGTAGTGGTCATGAGTGTGCCACTGTACTCCAGCCTAGGTGACAGAGTGAGACTCCAACTTAAAAAAAAAAAATTTGAGAAAAATTACTGTGATTAATTGAATAATGAAATTTCCTTTGCTCGGGACAATTAAATGGTTAAGCTTCCTTTTCCCACCAAAACTATATTCTGAATTATCCAATCATTGGATGTTTAACTGTACGTTCTAGGCAACTGATACCTAGGTCAAAGCCCGAAAAAGCTGTTTATACTTTAACTCAATTTTTAGAGAACTGTGTTCAGGAAGCAGTTTCAAACAAATATTTCTATATAAAGACTTGGGTTTGTCTAATAGTCAAGTGACAAGAATCTAAGATTCTAGTACGGGAAGATAGTTACATAGTTGATAGTGCATTTGACCATTAATTTTATTTTGAAAAAAATTTTTGTGGTTTGGGGAAACATAAATGGTTTAATGTTTTTTGTTTTTTTTTTTAAACAGGGTATAGAACTATATATAAATGTAATCTTAAGTATGTAAATGTATTTACTAAATAAGCTCTAGGTACCTTCAGAACAAAGTACTATTAGAAAATACCCCAAAATGTCAACAGTGATCATAATTGGGAGGTAGGATTATGGGTGAAGCTTCTTTTCTTCATATTTCTCTACAGTTTCATAATTAATAATAAACAATAATTTTAAAATATACTTTTGCAGTAGTTTTTTGATGTTTCTTTCTAAGCTCTAGGTAGCAAACTGATCAGAGGAAATTGAATATCTTCCATTTTGTTTAGGAAGAAGAGCTGAGAAAAGCCATTTTAGTGGTGTTTGCAAATAAACAGGACATGGAACAGGCCATGACTCCCTCAGAGATGGCAAATTCACTTGGGTTACCTGCCTTGAAGGACCGAAAGTGGCAGATATTCAAAACATCAGCAACCAAAGGCACTGGCCTCGATGAGGCCATGGAGTGGCAAGTATCTGTTTCCAGAAGCCTCTGCATGTGTGTGCATTTGCAGCTGTGCACACCCACATGCACCTTCCTTTCATCTTGAGGACAAAATTGAGGTTGGCTTAGCAGCATATTACATAAGTTCCTCCAGTTTTTTTTCCCACTGGTCTTCATGTGCATCTCCCTTTATTTCAGTTAGCCAGCAGATGACAGCTAGATAAGCCAGGTCTTTGCCATATTTTAGCCCCTTTCTGCCTCGCCTCCTGCTCTAATTCCTTCTCCTTCAGTAATTAGTTAAGGCTCTCTTCTCAGGAGACTTCCCGGATGGAGCTCCATTCCCACTGCCTTAACACATCCTTAAAGTTAGATGCCCTTGCCACAAATCAGTGACATAGTACTTGCAATGCTGTCTTGTAATTGTTTTATTTGTCTACTTACTCATTAGATAATCAGTCCTTAAGTACCAAGGCCATTCTCATCTCTGAGTCATCTACAGATAGCCCAGCAGTAGTCGAAGCCTGGAAAATAGATCCTTGATCTTTATTGATTATTCATTCAAGCACAGACAAATTCAAAGCTTAAAAGACCACCAATTCTGTCGGTCGTGGTGGCTTATGCTTATGATCCCAGCACTTTGGGAAGCAGAGCCAAGAGGATTGCCTGAGTCCAGGGGTTTGAGACCAGCCTGGGCAACTTGGTGAGACCTCGTCTCTACAATTAAAAAAAAAATTCATTCTAGTCAGACTGTGTTAGGTAGCCTTCATCACATTAAGTGCTTTGGAAGCTACCTCCAGTGAAAAGTTGATATTGCAAATGATCATGCTTTGTACCTGAAAGTTAACTTTATGGAACTGTTCATTATCTCTTTACAGGTTAGTTGAAACGTTGAAAAGCAGACAGTAGTCCAGTCCTTTAGCTCTTGGAATTGAAAGCTGCATCACCTGTTGTGTTCACACTGCGAGATGCGGACACTGCTTAGCTTCACCATGTGCGGAACTGACTGCAGTGTTTGTAATAAATTCGGAAAATAAGTGTGTGGAGAGGTAACTTGGTTGAATCACCTGAATATTCTGTGTCATGTACAATATTCCTTCCTTGCTTTCTTGTGTTAAGGTATATTCTGTTTGTATGAAATTCTTATTCCAGTACAGTCCTGTTAAAGAATGCACTCTTCTTCCTGGGGAAAAACCCTTCTATTTTTGAATTAGTAGTTGCAGCTTGTTTGTATAAACACTAATAAATATCTTAACTTGGATTTTTTTCCCCCTTATAATGAATTAAGTCTTTCCAAAGATTAGGCTCAATAGAGTAGGCTGGGAACATAGTCTGTATAATATAGTCCTCATTTGCTTAACTTTTTTGATTTAAAAGCTTTTGGTTGTAGGCATGAATATTCTTTTGGTGGTTAACTTCACTGACATATCTGTAATTTTCTTTTACTTTATAGTTGTTGAAAAATTTTACGTATAGTGGTCTAGTTGATTTGTGCAGGACCTATGTGAGGTAGGTAGGATGGGTTGTGATGTCTTTACCTGGTGGACGTGGACCAGGGTTCTGACAGGTTGGCTTGCTCAAGGCCACCTGTTAGTGAGGAGGGAATAGGGCTCAGGGTAGGATGTTTGGGTCAGAAGCTGGAGTCAGACTACATTATGTATTTCTGAAAATGCCAACACTGACGACACAACCTAACTCTTAAAATAAAATTATGCTAATTGAAGTAGTCACCATACATGCAAAATAACACATGTATTTTGTCTATACTGGAAGTGATCTATGATACAGTAAAAACAATCCTAAATGGTTATATTTGATGGCATTCACAACACGTTAAAGAAAACATTTCACATGAAAGGAAATAAAGTCTATTTTAAGAAGCATTATAAAAGATGCCTTTACTGTCTTTCATTTCTTTTATACACCTGTAATTGGACTTACAAACTTGATTCAGTTAAAAGTCAAAATCTTGTTGGTTCTATAGGGAGAAATTAAATGTTCTTGGTTTTAAAAATTAGGCTTCGCTGGGTGTGGTGCCTCATGCCTATAATCCCAGCACTTTGGGAGGATGAGGTGAGAGGATTGCCTGAGCCCAGGGGTTTGAGACCAACCTGGGGAACTTGGTGAGATCTTGTCTCTACAGTTAAAAAAAAAAAAAATTAGCCAGGCATAATAGCACATGCTTGTAGTTCCAGCTACTTGGAGGGCTGAGGTGGAAGGATCACCTAAGTCCAGCAGGTGGAGGCTGTGGTGACTGTGAGTGTGCCACTGTACTCCAGCCTGGGTGACAGAGTAAGACTCTGACTCAAAAAAAATAAAAAAGACCAGGTGGCTCACACCTATAGGTGGCTCACACCTGTAATCCCAGCACTCTGGGAGGCTGAAGTGAGAGGATTGCCTGAGCCCATGGGTCCAAGACCAGCCTGGGCAACTTGGCAAGACCTTCTCTCTGCAATAAAATTTAAAAAAACTGTCTGGGTGTGGTGGTGCACACCTGTGGTTCCCGCTACTTGGAAGGCTGAGGCGGACGAATCGCCTGAACTGAGCAGGTCGAGGCTGTGGTGGCCATGAGCGTGCCACTGCACTCCAGCCTACGTGACAGAATGAGACTCTGACTCAAAAAAATAAAAAAGGCTTCCTGCTAGACTATAAATTTAAAGAATGTTTAAAAAGAATCTTTTTGAATGGGAGTCTCTGTTGCCAGGCTGGAGTGCAGTGGCATGTTCACAGCCACTGCAGCCTCTACCTGCTGGGATCAGGAGATCCTTCCGCCTAAGCCTTCCAAGTAGCTGGAACTACATGCGCATGCCACCATACCTGGCTAATTTTTTGATTTATTGTAGAGATGAGGGCTCGCCAAGTTGCCCAGGCTGGTCTCGAGCCCGTGGGCTCAGGCAGTCCTCTCACCTCGACCTCCCAGAGTGCAGGGATTATAGGCATAAATCACCACACCCGGCCTAAAGAAACTTTTAAAACTCTCCAGCCCACCATGGGATCAGCTAGAGTGTGACAGAAGTAAATATAGTCTTTAGTAATTACTAAAACGGGGAATTTTATTTCACTTAAGTAAATTGTTTGGCTGGGTATCATGGCTCACGCCTATAATCCCAATGCCTTCTTGGGAGGTGGAGGTGAGAGGATTGCCTGAGCCCAAGGGTTTGAGACTAGCCTGGGCAACTTGGCAAGACCTCGTCTCTACAGTAAATTAGCTGGTGTGGTGGTGCACACCTGTAGTTCCAGCTACTTAGAAGACTGAGGCAGAAGGATCACCTGAGCCCAAGAGATTGAGGCTACATAGCCATGAGTATGCACTCTAGCCTGGGTGATAGAATGAGACTCCAATAAATAAGTAAATAAATAGGGCAACCAGCATTTAAAAAATTCGGTGCTGGTAAGGAGAGCTTAATACCCCACTCCTCGTGTCTCAGGAACTGTTGGTTCATTTCCTGGCTCTCGCTGTCCTCCCAGCACCCGCCCCTCTGGGGACTCTCCCTCTTGCTCATCCCTGGGACCTATTCCTGATCCAGTCCCTCTGCCGTCTTTATTGGAGCCCTTCTCTCAACCACAGCGTTCCAGTACAACTAGGTCTGCTCCTGTGGGCAGGGGCGTTTTTTCACGTTTATGTCCCCGGTGCCCAGTATGGGGCCTGGCGCACTACGGCCATTCAGAGTATGTTCCTAATTGAAGTAAGAGTATGGGTATTTGCTGGCCAGGGAAATAGTACCTCTGCCATTTATACTTGGTTCCCTGCTGGTCCAGGGAAATGCCAGACCAAGAATGCAGCAAACAAGTTCACTTACACCCTGAGGTGTGAGGCTTGTGTAGGTGGCTCTCAGCAGTGCAGGAAAAACGGCAGCAAATGGAAGTGGGAAGTAGGGTCCTGGCAGGCAGGCCTGGGCATGGCCCTTGCCATCCTATTCCAAGGGCATGAAGCTGTCCAGAGGTCGGCACTTGGCAGTCCCGGTCCCTCTGGGTCATCAGCAAGAAGGCATTGACTGCAGGGTCCTAGCCTAGCAGGAAGCGACTGCACAGACTGCCAGGCCTGGATGTTGATGTTTGCAGAAAACATCTGAGAAGTCTGATAACAGGAAAAGCACCAGACTTGAAAGAACACGCGTACTAGGTGCAAACAGCCACTCCTTCCGTTTCTTTTCTGTAAATGAGACCTGGGCAAATGATACCAAAGGTTTCTTTCCGCTCCAGCCTTTTATTTCATAACTGGTTGGTATTGTGCTGGGTCACATCACACTGGAAAAATGTGAGAAGCTGAGACGGTGGAATTGCCTGTCAACTGAATCCCTGAGAGGCACTTTCAGCTGTTGAGATGCATGGAAGCCCCTGGAGGGCAGGGCCCACGTCTTATGTACTGTGAGCATCCCTTGCATCTGGTGTGCTGCGCCTGGCACATGGTAGGCACGCAGTACATATTTGTCGGTTATAATTAGAGATGTGCTTAATAACCCTGATTATTTGTTCTTTCTGACCTTGACCTTAGCATTTTAAAAAATTTTTTAAATTCTTGTGACAGCAATACATGTGCATACTTTAAACCACTTAAGAAGTAAAATCAACCTTTTGGTACGTCCCCTTTATCCCTTTGCCACATTACAAAGTCCCTTGGAAGGGTGGGAACTCCTGTTGGAGATAGGAATTACATCCAGTCTGAACACTATGGCCACTCAGAGTATGTTCCTAATTGAAATAGGAGGATGGGTATTTGCTGGCCAGGGAAATAGTACCTCTGCCATTTATACATAGTGAATCCTATGCTACAGGCCATCTCATTTGAACTCTGTAACTACACATTATAAAGCATGTGCTTTCAGTCTTGCACTTGGATCGTGACTCCACCTACATCCCGTGTCATTCTTAGGCAACTTATTTACTCTGAGCCTTAATTTCTTCATCTATGAAGTAGGAACCAGTTTTAGAAACTTCGGGAATACTATGAGGATCAAGCAAAGTGTATGTCAAGTGCCTGGCCTGGATTCTTCCTCCCTTCCCTCTCTTCCAAATACACTGGGCATTAACGAATATTGCTCTCACACTAAGTGCAGAGTGAGGCAAAAAGCACAATATAGCTGGATGACAAACTGGTTTACTGGCCAGGCACAGTGGCTCACACCTGTAATCCCAGTGCTTTGGGAGGCCAAGAGTTTGAGACCAGCCTAGGTAAAACAGCAAGCCTCCATACCTACAAAATGTTACCGTGCGAGGGCTGAAGTGTAGTTTCTTCTTTCCCTTTAATAAATATGAACACTTCTCTTTTTCCATGGCTTTCTTTTCCCTCCACTCAACAGTTCTGGGTGTCATGTATACTGATGGATGTAACTAGCTGATTTTCACCACTGTATTTCTGTGTATGGGTATACCACTTTATCCATTTTCCTGTGGAGGGACATTTGGATGGCTTCTAGTTCTTTTATCAATGGCTGATGAGCATTATTGTACGAGTCTTTTTCAGGTCCATGATCGTAAGTTTCTCTAGGAGTTGGAACTGCTGGATCAGGGGATGTACCCATCTTCAGGTTTACAACTAATGCCAAATTGTTTTCCAAAGTGGTTGACTGGAGTTCCTATTGCTCTTCCAGGCTTGTCAACACTTGGGATTTTAGGTTTTTTAAATCTGATGGGTTCAAAGTGAAGTCTTATTCTAGTGTTGACTTACATTTTCATAATCACTAATGAGCTGGAATACAGGAGTGACTAGAAATATTTAACGAGACATAGCTGGTGTGGGAGGACCCCACTAGTCCAGGTGATTATAACTTCTGGGGTGGGAAGATACAGAGTACAAGGATTCATGTTGCCAGGGGGTCCTTGGGGGTCTCAAGGTGGCGACTGCTTGCCAGTCAGCTCATAATACTTAAGTTCTAAAGAATTGGTATTAGCTGTACCAGGTTTTATGGTAATGCTTAAGGGCTATTTGTTTCTTCTTTGTGCAAGGCCCATTCTCTTGCCTTTTCTACCGGATTATCTTGGCTGATGAATGTTCATTACATAGCCTGATGCCACTGCACCTTCAGCAGTGTATGTTATATGCCACATCCCAGTTTGTATCTCTTAATTTATCACAGGTTCTCTCTATAGATAGTACTTTTGTATCTTTTAATATCTGACAGGGCAAGCTCCTTATCCTGTTCTCCGTTTGCAAGAGTGTCATGCTATTCTTGGCTTATTATCTTCCATGTAAGTTTTTTTGCTGTTTTTTTTTTTGGGGGGGAGTAGATCTCACTCTTTCGCCCAGGTTGGAGTGCAATGGAATGAGCATGGCTACCACAACCTCGACCTGCTGGGCTCAGGTGGTTTTTCTGCCTCAGTCTCCTGAGTAACTGGGACTACAGATGCACATCACCACAGCTGGCTCAGTTTTTGGTTAAATCTAGAGACGAGGTCTCGCCATGTTGCCCAGGCTGGTCTCGAACTCCTTGCCTCGGCCTCCCAAAGTGCTGGGATCACAGGCATGAGCCACTGCACCAGGCAGAGCCAGCGTCTTG